CTCCCCAGATGAAAGGGCCACGCAAATATCACCTGTACGGTGCCTTACCTACTCCCCAGATGAAAGGGCCACGCAAGTATCACCTGTACGGTGCCTTACCTGGTTCCCAGATGAAAGGGCCAAGCAAATATTACCTGTACGGTGGCTTACCTGGTCCCCAGATGAAAGGGCCACGCAAATATTACCAGTATGGTTCCTAAACCTGGTCCCTAGATGAAAGGGCCACGCCAAATATCACCTGTACGGTGCCTTACCTACTCCCCAGATGAAAGGGCCACGCCAATATCACCTGTACGGTGCCTTACCTGGTTCCCAGATGAAAGGGCCACGCAAATATTACCTGTACGGTGCCTTTGGTTCCCAGATGAAAGGGCCACGCAAATATTACCTGTATGGTTCCTAAACCTGGTCCCTAGATGAAAGGGCCACGCCAATATCACCTGTACGGTGCCTTACCTGGTCCCTACATAATTTATGAAAGGCCCATGGAATTTTCCCGTACGGCGTTTTACCATGGAGGTAGAAATGGTTTTACTGGTAACGTTAACACGTTATCTAGACCCAAGTCCCTCACGCACTCATTACGGCCACTCATTACCTGTAAGGTTTCCAGAGCTAAGAGCCGTACAAATGACTGTTTGTGGCTTATCCACCGAAGTGGAGTGATTATAGCCGTAAAGGTTGACGTTTTTTGCCCCTAAAAGTTGTGGATAAACGCCGGCAGCCCTCCCCACCGCTAGCTACCCCTCACTGCAGCAGCTGATACCCCGACCAATAGCAGCGTGGAGCTTGCTGAGAAATTGACCAATAGCGGCGTGGCCGTCTTTCGTGGCCGTCCTACCATATTCTAGGCCAAGCCATACCTCTTTCCGCGGAACATCCAACATGGCGCCATCCATTGACGATTTAGTCCAGCGGGTTTCTCTCTACAATCTGCGCCCGTTTCTCTTCCATTTCTACGTGGCGCCCTTCCTGATCATCTACGCGGCCTGGCTGTACGTCTGGCTGGGGGTGTACGGCGTGGAGGAGTACTTTGAGGCGGGTTTAATCGCGCTAGCTGTGATCGGCATCGTGCAGATTTTGGCGTGCCTGTTCTGCCACTGGTCGGTACACGTCAGGTGTACCTTCATATGTAACAAGGTGGGCGAATATTAACTAGTCTGGGTACTGGCGTGATACACGTTTTAGGTTTATGATAAACTTGTGGATTTTTGCTCAGCTAGTACGTAGGATGATTGTATGATACTTATGTCTACGTGTTACTTTTGGATCATGGGGGGGGGGCAAAACCATATGTCACAGGTTGGACCATTCCAACTTTGTTTGGTAAAAGAGACGTAGTTCAGGAAGCGAGATTTCAGCGTGGTATAGTAGGAAAACAGAAGAGGATCAAATTCATAAGGTGCAGTCATGAATATGAATAATAATATTTGCTTAGAGTTTGAAGTTAGTATAAATATGACAAGTTATCTTGATGTTGTAAATTTATGGTAATGGTATACGTAGGCTGAGATGTCACCCAGTGGACACCCATGCATAATTAAGGGACTCCTATCATGCCAATTATGATAACAAGACATTTAAATACTGGTTGAGTAGTTTTGTGCCTAATTTGATTTTCATTTTCCTTTCAAAACAGACACCTGTTGTTGACAGGTTGTTACCCTTGATTTGTATAAATGTTAGACATAGATATATACAGGAGACTACCATTTTGATTAGCTGTTCATTTTCTGTCCCCAGGCTTATGATCCCAGTAAGGCTGGCTGGATAAAGGTAGTTCCCACTCCTAACAATGGGTCAGCTGAACTGGTCAGACTACACCATGACAAGGTAATTATCATCAATCACAGCTTAATCATAGTTTACCATTCTATTTGTTAGAGTCTGGTAAACAAGTGGGCATAGTATTATTACTTTCCTTACATCAAATATAGTAATTACTTACCCCCTGTACATTATTTATGCCCCTTTTCCCATGTAATGTTTTAGATATACTCAAGAAACAATACCCCCCTCCCCACTTACTACTGTGTACACAACTACTGTGTACACACACAAAGAAAAACTTTTGTCCCTCTCCCCTCTAGCATAATTACTGTATACTCAAGAAATACCACGTATGCCCCTCCACAACTATACCTCAAGTTTAACTTTAAGAAAATATTTCTTATGCCCCCCTCCCCAACTACCTTGTAAATGACTATACCCAAGAAAGCTACACATATACAGTGGTTTAAAGAGTCCTTACACAAGTTACCACCTGTGACTTTCAGGACAAGACCTCAGGAGAAGAGCAGATCTGGTTCAACTTTCAGAAGATCAAGTACGTGTACGATGCGGAGGAGAAGAAGCAGTTCCGCGCGGTGGAGTTTCCCGTGGACCTGGCGATGCGAGTGTACCAGTCCTGCCGCGGGTACCAGGAGGAGGCTGACATCAGCAGGGCCAGCGCCAAATATGGGAAAAACGAGTATGAATTCAAACACTTTAAACTAGTAAAGAGCTCCAATCATCATATGGATATATCTCATATGCACATGTTTGTTTCTTTGAACCTTTGTTTATTCATGAAAATCTCAAATTGGTCTGTAGGCTGATTTTCATTGCGTATCAAAGAGGTTTGTGTTAAATCTTCCAAACCTAAATTTTTTAGTGTTGGCAACAAGATTTAAATCAACTCCATGATTAGTTTAAAGATGTTACCAAGATTATATATATAGGAGACATGATTTGGGTTTCACCTTCAGTGGTACATTTAAAAATGGTCAATGCAAGTAGTTGGCTCTCTAAGTTTTTGAATGTCATTTTTCTGTCCCCAGAGTACAGATGGTTGTTCCAGACTTTGCAGAGCTGTTCAAGGAGAGAGCCACAGCTCCCTTCTTCGTGTTCCAGGTGTTCTGTGTGGGACTGTGGTGTCTGGATGAGTACTGGTACTACAGGTGAGCAGGGAAAACAGGGAAATACTGTACAGTAGTAAGTAAGGTGACAAATGTGGTTTAAAAGCTAAAACGTGGTTAAGAGGAAAAGTCAACTGGCTCAACCCTACAAAACTAGTACCACGTATGTTGTAGAATGTAGACATAATGTTAGACGTAGTCTCTTATATCAGTGTATTTTCTTTTGTCATACATGTTGTTTGTACCTGCAATTAACCCTTGGGCAATCGTAATAAACTTTCTCTATAAAACTTGGCGTTTTTGTTCTGTGACCATTCCAGTATCTTCACCCTGTTCATGCTGGTTGCGTTTGAGGCGACCCTGGTGCAGCAGCAGATGAGGAACATGTCAGAGATCAGGAAGATGGGAAACAAACCCTTCCCCATCCAGGTGTACAGGAACCGCAAGTGGAGACCCATCAACAGTGATGAACTTGTGCCAGGAGACATCTGTTCTATAGGTAATCACAATCATTCTGTGATGCATGTAGATAGCTCTTGTGCTCAGAAAGAAGAAACATAAGTTTGGGCCACCTAGCATTAAATTTTGGAACTGCAGGGGCATTTTTAATAGAATTTTCCAAAGAGGATACAGTGATGAATTTGTGCCAGGAGACTTCTGTTCTCACAATCACAATCGTTCTGCCAAATTTTGATTGTGTTTTGTGAAAAAAGGAAAACTGGCACTTCAAGAAAACCGTGTGTTCTGCTTGTTTAGGATTTGAATAATGTATTTTTGTTTTGATGTGTTTCTAGGACGCTCCCAACATGACAACCCTGTCCCTTGTGACCTGTTACTACTGAGGGGTCCATGCATCGTGGATGAGGCAATGTTGACTGGGGAGTCTGTACCACAGATGAAGGTATTACACACATACCAAGTAACTATGTCTAATAGAAACATACAAAGGCTTATTAATATGTATGGTAGACACATGCAAGGGAAGGCATAAGTTGGTCACCAGGTATGTCAATCTATCCACAAATGTGATAAATCTTAATATACAAGATAGTCAAGTAACAGACCAAGTATTTTTGCTTGACAGGAGCCTGTGGAAAGCCTGGAGCCGGACTATGTGCTGGACCCTGAGGTAGATGGAAAACTGCACATCATCTTCGGTGGCACCAAGGTGGTACAACACACCCCACCTGGGAAAACTGCCGCTGGGCTGAAAGGTGGGGCTCGATAGTCTCCTTTTGATGTCTGATATTGAATGACTTTTCACTTAAATGACTGCTACATCCTCGTGAAAAAAGAGTTCCTACTACTGTACAGTTGTTTCATGTGAAATAGCATAGTCAGTCTGCTTCGTGCTATTGGTCTATGCCCACCATACATGCATCTGCATGCCATGTGCTTTATCCACAAGATAGGTTATTGTGATTATTAAATAGAGTTTCAATGTTGGTTTTTATTTCCAGCTCCTGACAATGGCTGTATTGCTTATGTGCTGAGGACAGGGTTTAACACCTCCCAGGTAAGTAGAAAAAAACTTTTCTTAATTCCACTTGATGTACTATGAGTTTTGGTTATTGTAATCCAAATATTAAGAGTAATATATTATGTGGAATTTGTCTAACAGGGTAAGCTGTTGAGAACTATCCTGTTTGGAGTGAAGCGAGTGACAGCCAACAACCTGGAGACTTTCTTCTTCATCCTGTTCCTCCTGGTCTTCGCCATCGCTGCAGCTTCTTATGTGTGGATCAAAGGTGGGTTTTGAACTATAGAGTCAGTCAGTGTGTTGTAAACAGTCATTTTTCTACCCTTTATTCAAAGATTGGATCACATTTAAAAATTTGTTAAAGGTCCTGGTACCACTTCTCAAAAACAGGGAGTGCAATAATGTCTATAGTTGCTAGGGGGTGAACTTTTGGGACTATTGAATACACTTAGTCACCAGGGATACTCATAGTCACCTATATGATGTTACCTGTAATGGTAAAACACAGCCCTTTTAGTTTTAGCTGTTAAAAACTCTCGCTTTGTAATACAGGCTTTTATGGAGATGCAGTACGTGATTAGAAATAGGAAAGATTTTTTTATAGAGAGCCAATGTTTCTTTTCCTTATTACATGTTAAAATCGTATAAGACAATTTTGTTGAGATTACATTTTCTCTGCCAGGTACTGAGGACCCTAAGAGGAACAGGTACAAGTTGTTCCTAGAGTGCACCTTGATCCTGACCTCAGTGGTGCCACCAGAACTGCCCATTGAACTGTCCCTGGCTGTCAACACATCTCTACTGGCACTCTCCAAACTATGTAAGTACTGACACATGCTGTAGAGTATTTTCATCTGACATAATTGCTGCGTCAGCCGCCATGTTGGTGTCCCTATTTGCATTTCAGTGAATCATAGCTCAAGTGGTTTGGGACATTCGATTATTTTTGACCATCTCAAATAACTACTGTGAAATATCTACAGCTCGAGGAAGAGACGGCCAGAAGAACACTCTAGTCTTAAAATTTGCCGATGAAACACAAAAAAGCTGATTAGTGTGTACTGTGCACACTTGAGCTACAATCCATTGAAATGCAAATAGGGACACCAACATGGCAGTCAACACCTGTCTGCATCACTGATAAGGAAAGTGCGTGAAAATGCTCTATAAGGCTTCACAAACTATATTTAAAGTATTGTATCTGAAGATGCACTTCACTGCTTTTAACCTTGCCTAACATTGTAGCCTGGATAGAGGCTTAGTAGCCAAATGGGTATTTCAGCATGCTAACAGTTAAAAATCTGCACCTTACACTTACCACAAGTTTTGTCCTGACTGTTGCTTGATGTTTTCCCCAGATGTGTTCTGTACGGAGCCCTTCAGGATCCCGTTTGCAGGGAAGGTTGACATCTGCTGTTTTGACAAGACAGGGACCCTGACATCAGACAAGCTGACAGTGGAGGGGGTGGCAGGACTACAGTAAGGAATCCTGCATACTGTGATCAGCCTGTAAAGCAGTATATTGTACTGAGTGCGCCTACCCTGTATAAAGAAAACAGAAATAAATAAATAAATATATTAGGGTTCTTATGAATACTACAATTTCAAAAACATTTGACATCTTGACAACTCTTCAAATATATTCACCATTGCTTGAATGGACTAACTGTACTACTCGGAAATCCTTACAAAAGGATGGTGTTGCGGCAAGCATGTGACTTAATGTGACTGAAAACTTATGTATTATTTGACAGCATGTCAAGATTAAAGACAACAGTTATACTTTTTTTTATAAATATCAAAAGCTGGTACAGTAATTACATCTATTAGCTTGAAAAATCCATAAAGGCTAGACTACATGTATATTTGCAATAATAAAGGTCAGTTCATAATGTTTATAATTTATATATGAGGTACAAGAACCCACACTCTCCCTCCTTGTTCCCTGTACAGAGGTAAGGAGAAGGTGTGTCCCATCTCAGAGGTACCCCTGGAGACAGTCCAGGTGCTGGCCTCCTGTCACTCTGTGGTACAGATGGAGGATGGGCTGGTGGGAGACCCCCTGGAGAAGGCCACGCTAACTGCAGTAGAGTACAACCTCACCAAAGGTACGGGGCAGGGATAAGTAAAAAAAAATTGTTGGTCAATACAGGACTTTTCAACTGCAAGTAGTAAACAGTTGTAAGGAGCTGGTTGTAAGATAAGAAATAAGAAATAAGAAAACACATAACCAGTTTGATCCAAATCTACTATCATGGTGTCATCTGTAATAGCTGAATGACTAGTTTGCAAAGCAGTATAACTTGTAATATTGCATACAGAAAGCACACATTTACATTGATCTGTGGAAAATAATCTTGTACATGTATGGTGGTGGCGATAACATTTTTTGTCATACCCAGGCCATGATAGCATTCAATACACTTGCTTCCAAAGGTTCCATAGAATACTTCAACTGTGTCAGGTGACCCAACCCACGGTTGTGCTGGTACCTACGGTCATACTGGACACTCCATGTTGTATTCTATATTAATTTTTTAATCTGCCAACTCACTTCTGCTCGGCTGTAGGTGATGCAGTGATCCCGCCGCGTGGGAACCCGGGGAAGGCGATGAAGATCGTGCAGCGGTACCACTTCTCCAGTGCGCTGAAGCGGATGTCGGTCATCACGTCTCAGGAGCAGCAGGGCTCAGTGGAGAACCTGTACATGGCCATGGTCAAGGGCGCGCCCGAGACGCTGAGGGCCATGGTGAGGGCACAGGGGAGGGGTTCTGTGGGGGGGGAGGCTTGTAACATACCACGTTTGGGTAGACAGCACTCAGAGAGTGTAAATGATTTGTAAGCATACCGTAGTTTCCTCAGTGCCTCGGCAGAACGTACCACACCTGCATGAAACCCTGATCTGGCTCTGTGTTGTTCTAGTACTCCAGTGTCCCAGACAACTATGACGAGGTACACCAGGAGATGTCCAGACAAGGTGCCCGTGTGCTGGCACTGGGGTACAAGAAACTGGGCACTATGGCTGCACAACAGGTAAGGAACTTAGACAGATTCAGACTTGTTATGGTACATGATTTAAACCTACATTTGGTTATCATAGTTTTGTTACAGCAAACCAGGCATTGTTGACCAGGCTAGTGATGTTTGTGTGTTTGTTTGTGTTTTAGCTGCGTGACCTGACCAGAGATGATGTAGAGAAGGACCTACAGTTTGCCGGGTTTGTCATCATCTCCTGTCCTCTCAAGGCTGACTCCAAGGCTACAGTGAGAGAGATTATACATGCCTCCCACCATGTAAGTACTTGAACTTGTAGCAACTAAACAGGCATAGATGTGTGTGTGTTCATTGTTCCAGTAAATGTTGTTCAATTGTTCATTGCTCCAGTACTAGTCTATACCTGTAGTACTGACCTGTTGTTTTCTCCCCTGGCCAGGTGTGTATGATCACAGGTGATAACCCCCTGACAGCCTGCCATGTTGCCAGGGAGCTGCGCTTCACCAGGTGTCCCAAGACTCTGGTACTCACCCCACCAGTCGACCAAGGTGGGTCTAATGGTTACTACATCAGTACATGTAGTACCTAGGTCTCACCATCTATATGACTGTGTAAAATTTTACACAACACGATGAAGGTTAGACATTCAGGTACTGAGATACACAAGGAAAGTGTCACTCAAGCAACTGCATGGATAGATTTTGAAAATTGTCAGATGTTTCAAGTACCATCCACCACTTAAAGACACTGATGAAAAGTAACAATTTTCTTGTCAATCTGTGTCAACAGTTATGGCAATTTTTCCTCTAGTTGATATGTAGCTTGTAGAGAGTTAGTTTTGTATATTGTAACATGTTTTGAATAGCAGTGACAGTGTTATGTCTCACCCCCCTGACTGTGTCCTCCTAGATTCTGAGTGGCATTGGCTGTCTGTGGATGAAAAGGTCACCCTTCCCATGGTGCCGCGGGAGGGGGCCAAGGAGCTGATCGGCAAATATGACCTTTGTCTTACAGGAGAGGTCAGTGGTCTGAAAAACTAATCACACACACATGCATGAGAGATGACAGAATAAGTCTAAGCAGTTGGTACATGGTCTGTCTCAAAACCCTCAAGTCATTTTAGGCTGACACTGATTTATACAAACTGTACATGACATTGTACATTTTGTATTCATTTCTGCTTTTATTTCCTAATATTTCAAATTCTAGGTACACTGTATGCAGTACTGTACTGGGTATGCATTTCTGTACTGTTGTTGATGACATTTGTTTTACTTGTTTTTTTAGGCCCTGACTCAGCTTAAAGCTGTGAATGAGAAGTTTTTCCAGAAGATTTTACCTCATGTCAAGGTGTTTGCAAGAGTTGCCCCCAAGCAAAAGGTCAGTGGCATTTACTTAATCTCATCCTTTCCCCCGCATAAAATAATTTTTTTCATGTTTATAAGGAATTGGTTACAGATATGTTGTGATGAGAAGTTGTTCAAGTAAATTTTTGTATTTGCTTAATATCATACTTTCATAATATTTAATGACAAATGTTGTGTTGTTTTCAGGAGTATGTGATCACCACACTGAAGAGTTTAGGCTACACCACTCTCATGTGTGGGGATGGAACAAATGACGTAGGAGCTCTCAAACATGCACATGTTGGTAAGGGACAAAATAGTACCTACAGATAGATGTACTTTCTGAAATATTTTATACAATTGTTTGTGTTGTCATTATTTGATAACCTTTTTTTAATGTTCTTGTTAATGTGTTTAACTTACTACCCCCAGGTGTGGCCCTCTTGTCTAATGCACCTGAGAGGATGCCAGAAAAGGCACGAAAGGAGGACAAAGAAAAGGTGGGTTAAAATTGTTTTGATTTTTATAATAACAAGAATCTACCAAACTAAAAACCACAATGATGAATTTTGCAATGTTGAGTTGTCAATAAGTGAACATGCATGGTACTAGTATATACATGTAGACAGTTATGTGCAAGTTTTCTTCCTTCATATTATCTGCCATACATTGTACCTGTTACAATCATGCAATAAACTTTGACTTGACTTTTGCAGGAACCAAAGGACAATAAACCACCAAACAACAAGCTGCACCATCCTCAGTCAGCCCCTAGGGGGAGCAGCAGAGCTGCCAAGAACAGAGCTATAGCCAGAGGAGAAAACTTAGCAGGAAGCAAGGTACATATCGTATGAGTTGTCATACATTTAGGAACTTCATGTATTGTACGAAAGTATTGAACGTGATTGTCAATTGTTAAGTGTAAAATCTCAGAATATACACTTTCAACACTTGTAAGACTGTTCAGCTTTGTAATTTTCGGTTTTTCTACTTCCTAAATGTTGTTAAAGTTTTTTGTGTGTGATTTTTTTTCTCCAGAGTGCTCAGATGCAGAAAAAGCTAGAACAGATGCTGAAGGAGATAGATGAACAGGAGGCAGCAGCAGTCGTGAAGTTAGGAGATGCCAGCATAGCCTCTCCCTTCACTTATAAACTCTCCAGTATACAGTGTGGTAAGGGACCCTGTAGTAGCCTTTTGTCTTATTTGTTAGATGTCCGTTATCAACAACGGTTGTTTTTGCATATGATTGTCTTAGATACAGCATGAATACATTAATGATAATTTTTGGCTATTGCAGAAATGTATGTATGATACATGTTGCAATGAATTTCAAATTGGCTTAGGTTATTTCTTCTGATAAATGATTTCTTCGCAAACATATTAAATATCCCCAGCGTAAGTAAAGCCAACACGGCAAGCTACTTTTTATTCTATTTGCCTCAAATTTACTACTTTTCAATCTAAACAATCCCTTTCTAAAACTATGAAATTCAATGTTGTTGACCTTTTATAATTGATACATTTTATATTGATCCCCTACACTATATTTTCTTTGTTTTGTATACAGTATGTCATATCATCAAGCAGGGTCGGTGTACGCTGGTGACGACACTACAGATGTTTAAGATCCTGGCGCTGAATGCACTGATCCTAGCGTACAGTCAGAGCGTGCTGTATCTGGATGGGATCAAGTTCAGCGACGGGCAGGCGACCTTACAGGGGCTGCTCTTAGCAGGCTGCTTTCTCTTCATCTCAAGGTCAAAGGTACACAATGCTACATTATTATTATTTGTTGTTGTTGTTTATTTGCCCTTGAAAACAAATCATTTTTGTTGTAAATGGTAAAGAGAATATGCAGGGACAACCAGAAACATGCAATGTTTATCAAGGGTTTCCTCACCTTCACAGATGCCAATGCACAAACTCCTCCCAGTGCAAACCCTAAAAACGTTTGATATCACTGTAATTTAGAGATCCATTCTCTGAAGGCATTGTATGATTCTTCTAGTTGAATCAAGATGTTGCTAGCAAGATGCCTTTGATTTAGGCTTTATACGATTTTTAGATAGATTTCATTCAAGACGTTGAATTTGCAACTTCTATACCTTGATTGTTTAGTCAGAGACAAGTAGTCATTTGTATGTCATCAAATGGATGATTGAAGTTTTTACAATCTCTCATAGACATTCTGATATTTTTTCCGTCTCTTCTACAGCCTTTAAAGATCCTATCAAAGCAGCGCCCCCTACCAAACATCTTCAACCTGTACACCATCCTGACGGTGCTGTGCCAGTTTGCTGTTCACTTCTGTAGTCTGGTGTTTCTGAAACAGGAGGCACAGAGACTACAGCCCAGGTACAATTATAGCAACAAATTTATGCTTATTATTCCACTTTGTAAACCTAGCAGAAAAAGGGAGTACTGCAGCCTCTCTGTATTAGTCATTTCAACCAATAGGTATCATTCTGTTTTGGTTCCCACCTACTCGTATATCTATTTGTAAAGATGACACAATAGCTTTTAGAATATTTTGACCTGAATGTAGCCTTCAATTTTAAAGCAACTATTTAAACAAACTTGTCTCAAGCAATATTTATCCTCTTGATATTGTTCTACATGATATTATATTGTTCTTCACAGGACAGAGGAGTATGTTGACCTTGAAAAAGACTTTGAGCCCAGCGTGTTGAACAGCACAGTGTACCTTATCAGTATGATGATGCAGGTCAACACGTTTGCTGTCAACTACAAGGTCAGTGGGACAGCTCAATTCATCAATTATAGCACTGTTTCCCCATCATCCTACCTCTCTTACATGGAACTTTTGTTTCTACATTGTACATTTTTTTACTTTAGAAACCTTCTTAATATCACGTTCATGTTAGAAATTTTACTCACTGTTGAAGTATTGTGTTTGCTCTTTCCCTTCTTTAGTATATTTTGTCGTATATGACAACTTCACCAGTGTTTTGCTTGACTTGTCCTGACAGTGTTTTCCTTGTTGTCCAGGGTCATCCGTTCATGGAGTCGTTACGTGAGAACAAGGCTCTCCTGTACAGCCTCTTCTTCTCCATCATCTCACTAGCAGCCCTCACCATGGGGCTGGTGCCGGAAGTCGCACAGCAGTTTGAGATCGTAGACTTCCCAGATGAGGTAGGCAGTGCAATAAGACTCTGAAGTCTCATCTGCAATGCAGCACTCTTGCTTCTTACTGTCTACCAAGTATATTCTAATACTGTATGTATGTGATGTATCTGAATAGATTTTTTTTAGTGATTTATCATGTAAAAAGCAACTGATTTTACACTGTCAGTAATTGTTTCAGTACATGATTCCTAATAATGTTGTCATATTCTTCTATTCTCTTCACTATGAAAAATGAAGAGTGACAACACCTCTTATACTGAAACCATGGGTAACACAGTACATTTTACAGTGCAGTAACAGTAACATAGTATATTATTACAAACTTTTGTGATACATAGAGTTTCTTCTCTTCACAGTACCGGGTGCTACTGCTCCAGGTCTTTGCTGCCAATTTTGTCGGGGCCTTCCTTATCGACAGAGTTCTGCAGTTTGCTCTGGGCTATGCCAGGCTCAGGTCCAACTGAGAACCATCCATCTACACACAACTGACAGCTACAACTCAACTGCTTCACGCCCAAGATGTTGCGGTAAACTGTTGCAGAATTAGACCTTTAGCAGCAGCTTAGCAGTTCTACCCTACTGCAAGTTCTTGGTTTTCAAATGCAATGAAACAGATCTCTTCTCATAGTTGTTTCAAATGCTCAAGACAAAATGTGCAAAAAAAATTTTTGTAGTAGTTTGATGTCAATTGTTTTGTACCAATGAATGAGAGAATTAATTTTATGAAATTGATCTGTCTCGTGAAGTATGTGAAGAAGAGTGGACAAAGTAGCATTTATATGTTCCAACAGAGTTTAGAACTTCAGAGAATGGATAGTTTTTTGAAGATGTAAATTTCCCACCAGTGCTTAGAAGTGAAGATTGAATAATTGTTTTTGGAAAAGGTGGACTTTGAATCATAATTGTGTCTTATAGACATGTATTATAAATCAGTTGTTTTCTTGAAGAAAAAGAATATACTTAATAGGAATTGTTGCAGACTAAAACCAGAAACCCACTCAGAGTTAGGATCCTCAATGTCATATTGCACTGCCACATAGTAACCTAGAGTTCATATCTGGATGATGTACTGAAAACATCAATATTATGTAGCTGTTTAATGCCAGGGTGTACCCCATCAACACATCATACTGCAAGCTGCTGTTGCCTTATTGATGGATATACATGCATATCGATCATTGATTTTAAAAAAGCTTCTTAAGTTTAGCAAATTTAAAAGTCAAACGGTTACAACCAAACCTGCAGTATTTGGCAAAAAATGACTGTAATTGTGTGGAATATATTCAAGGTCTTATATCAACACATCAAAAAGTAAGTCGATGAGATGATTACAGTGAAAATGACCTTAGGTGAAATACTGAAAGATTATAGTAAGAGCTGACATTCCAAGCAGAGTTGTATGACATTGTCAAGCAGTTGTACAGTATTTATACTAGTTGTGTTAGCATTGTTAGTACCATGGGCTTTTTTTTCGGAAGATGTGAAATTATTTCTTACAAACTTATTTCTTGCTGTAAGCCATGGAATATGAAGGAAATAAAGTAACAAAGGGGGTATTGTCTTGTGTGTTTTTACTTCTTAGGCCACACCAATTTAATTTGTTGGTTCTCGGATTTTTTCAGAAAAAATATGAAGCGATAGGGCGAAAAAAAAAAAAAACAGGTCTAGGCATCCTATTATAGGCTTAAATGCTACAAAATGAGCCATGAAGTCAACACAAAAGGCTGGGTTAAAATTTAAACATTGAATTTTGAACTTTTAATCAAACCACTGCAATGATAGATGGGAAAACTGTAACAACTAGGAAGAAAAGGACTTTCCTCAACTGTTGGGGGGCAAAACATGAGCATTTTTCAGTTGATTCAGGACCAGAATCAATTTTTTTTTTTGCAAATCAGAAAAAAACGAAGAGGCGAATCCGAGAACCAACAAATTAAATTGGTGTGGCCTTAACTACATAGTACATGGAGTCAATCATGTCTCTTCAAGTTATTAATTTCAAGTCTTTTCCAACTCACTGCAACACACAACTTACATGTAGTAAGTCAACATAAATGTATATGGTACCTTAGATTACATTCAGGTTGGTCTATGATAAATCTTGCTTAGATGACTCCCCACTCTTTCAGCTGCTGTATAATCAGCAGCAGGTCTTGTTTTTGCCTGGGAATCAGACCTTTCTCGTACAGGATCCGTTCGTACACAGCGAAGGGAAAGTCAGCTCTGAAGTCTGCCTCCAACTGCTCCAGTGTGTACAACTGCAGACCAGCAGCTTCTGTTGGTAAAAATTACAATATGACTGCTGACTGTGCAAGTTTGTGAATGCTGTCACTTAACCATTTTACAGGTAGGTATAACCATCAATCCCTCAAGGGACTTTGTACTACAACCCTAGCTGCACTTGTCACATATATATATAAACTATATTCCAAATGACTACAAACTGAAGGAAAGAAAAGGTTCATTCAGACCACCTACAAAAGTGATGCTATCACCTGTCCTGTAATATTGCAGCAAGGCCATTTTCAATGACAGATAGTAAAATGTAATCAAACTTTTATCTTGCTACCGGTATTAAACAACACAGAAAACACATTTGATGAATACTCACTGTTTTCTCCCAAAGTCTTCTGTAGTTCTTGGTAATAATGCTCCAAGATGGCGTCCCGGTGGTTTTGGAAAATGTCCCAAGTTTGGTACATGAAGAGGACGACCAGATCAAAGGTCGGTGGCCGGTAGGCAACGAGCTGCCAGTCCACCAGCTTTACGTCTACGGGTTTGCCATCTTCGTACTACAAGCGGACACACAAATCAACAATAAGAGCAATCATTATACTAAGTAATTTACATTTGTCCAAGAAGGTTAGTCTCCACTTTTAACCTCCTTGGTTTGGCGTAGGGAAGTTTAACTTAGAAACTTGATATTAGAAATGGCCTAATACATTTGTACAATGATATCAAACTGTACAGTAACAGTTACAGTCGATGTTGTACAGTACCTTGAACATAATGTTGTTATTCCAGCAGTCAGCATGACACAGCACCTTCACCCTAGCCGGACTCTCTGCTGCCTCTCTCACCATCGCCACACCATCCACCTTCCTCAGGCAGGCCAACAGTTGCTCGTGATCCGGAAAGGCTGATGCCAAGTTCTTCAAGCCCTCTTGGTAGTACTTGTAATACCACTGCTGTTTACATGTGTAGATGTCCACTATCCAGTCATACCTGTCGGATAGGGGGGATCCAGATCGGAGCTCCAGCAGATGAGAAAGGCCATGGACCTGGGCTAGAGCTCCTACTGCTAACTTCATCTCCTCAAGGCCCAAAGGCTGTGGGTATGGGTTGATGGAGTAGCCCTGGGATTTTAGATTCTCCAGCACTCGCACGGACATGTTGGAGGTGTGGTCACTTGCAGTGAAGTAACACTTGGAAACTGGCACAGCATCGATACACCACAGTTTGTCAAAGTCCCCATCCTTGCTCTTGCCTTCCAGGCGTTCGACGAGCAATGACAGAAAGTCGGGAACCGCCACGGAGTAGAACTTGACCTCTGCCACATCAAACACAAGGTAGTCCTCCACAGACATGTGCTCTACCACCTCCATCCATCGGAAATTTGTCAACTTGACCACAACACTGTACCGCTCTACTTCACCGTTCTTGTTTCCTGTGGCGACTAAGGCGACGAGATCACTGCTGATGCCATGACCCTCCCCTATGGGGCCAGTGATGTCAACCTGAGTGATGTTGACTTCAGGGTCAATGTCGTTGAAGACTTGTAGAACCCAGGGTTTGGTGATGCCGTCCACAGAACCTGGGACAGGGATTATATTGGATGCTGACATATTTCTGTTGAGAAAAAAGGATAATGTTAAATACATCAAGTGGGCAAAAGGGTAAGTCACTAGAGATCCAACATTTGCAAGCAAATGCATAATATATCACTTCATATTCCATATGCAGTAATTGTCTATTCCTCTGAGGAGAGAGAGTACATTAAGGTTTTTACCTGTTATACCGGTATGAACATTTAAAGTGATTTATATAAAAGACAGGCCAGGTGCTCAGCATACTATCCTATGGTCAATATCTGGTCTTCATGTTAGAAGTATTAGGTAGTACTTCATCATGATAATATTATGGAAAACATTGTCAATTTGTTAAATGCTGGGCCATACAGTTCAACGTCCTCTAGGTCATATACCGGTGAAGCATAGGTCAATTTAAGGTCACATCTACATTGTATTTACACCTACATTTATAAAATTATCCCACAGGGAACATCACAACAAATGTCTTAAGAATTTCAGTACTTCCTAGAATTTCTATGATTAAGATTTGTGATAGAGGCTATGTTTCAGAAAAGAGCTTTTCCAATATGGTAGGCAGTGCAGACAGTAAAGGAGTTTTGGGGGAGGGACAAAAAGGCACAGAAAGGAATTCCCTGCACCAATAAACACTCAAAGAAGAACAATGTTGTGTGATATCCACTTACCAACAAGTATTTCAATCTCCAAAAGCTCCACTTCACTGGCAAGCTACCTACATGTATGCCCACTTATCATGGAACTTACTTAGACTTGGGAGTTTTCCAGAACTGCCCAAAAGGGCAAACAATACTGACCTTTGAACTATGCCCCAAGGGCACAATCCAGCCAATGTATACTAAAAGTAACATGTCACAAGGACTGAAGTCCACAAGTATACTGTATTGAGTGATGAGTTACAAGGTCTTTGTAAATATAGCGAAGTTAAAAATCTCACTGAAAATGGGATAGCAAGGTGGTCTGTATTAAATCTGTACTTTTTAAATTAGTATTTTTCTTCTTCTGTTCATGTTGTTCCATTGCCTTGGATTATGAATTTCAAAGAAAGGCAAGGAATTGAATGGATCATGTGCCTGAAGGAATAGATTAACATGGTTACTCAAGAAAAAGAATGAGAGAACCTTGGGTACTGGTGAACAATTTAATTTCTTGCCATCACTAAAGCAAGTACTTCAAAAGAACCCAGCAAACCAAATCTTTGTACTGGAAGGGACATAAGGAGTCATTCAAATTAACAGTATGGAAGCACATTCTTGTACTCAACATTATTCACAATGTTTGTGGCTTTATACATTACTGGGTAAATAACTGCATATCATCATATTTGATATCATTTTTGTACAGCCACGGATTATCACAAATTTGCTATTGACACCACAATGCGATATGTACTGGGGTAAGACTTTCTGCCATATGCCTGTAGTTATATTGCTACATCATTGTTCCACAAAAACACAACATTTCTCTAGTGCTGTCAGTGAGTAGGTAGGCGTATAATGTGACAAGACATTAAATGAAAACTGTTCACATTCCCTACCTACATAAAGCCATGGAATGATGTTGTGGAGGGGTAAGGGGGGTTCATGTTGGTGAAATTTTTCTCTATTCTATTCTTTTGTACCAGTTTTGCTATATATTTCTCTCTCATTTTCCTTAATATACTTTTTTTTACTTTGATATGATTGCATATATCCTTTGCTCAATGACAGGTCATTATCAAGATACCATTTTTGTCTGTAACTATTGACTTTATCAAAATATCAAGCACTAAATAAGTCAATACTTCTAAACTAGTCACAACCTTTACGTGAATCTTTGACAGCCAGAAACCTTACTCTATATTGTCCTAGAAATTTAGTACCAGTAATAATGAACTGGCAAATAGAAAAGGTTGCACAAATTATTCACATTAGACACCAAGTACTTGTAGCAACAAGTAGTTGTAGTACATGTACATGGATCTTTATCTCTGAAGTACTGCATTTTTTTCTTTTACTATACTACATACAATGTACATGTACAACTAATCTCAATTTTGCATCTTTGCACATAGGAATAGCTCTCTTTTTCTCAACTTTTTTCTCTAGTCTAATGACACAAGAAAAGGTTTTCAAACAATTTTTCAACATAGAAAACCAATGAAAATTACTTGAATCTCTACATGCTTGATCATAACCACAGACATGCTACTTTTCTAGTGTAGCTTTAGTGCCCTTGTATTCCTCCAGACCTGTAGATTTGTACAAGTGGAACGCCTACTGAAAAAACGGATATTTTTTCCTATATTCACATCAATTTCATTGTTGTAGATAATTCCATTGCATTGTAGATAGCCAGAGTATATTGTACAATGTAGGTACAGTGTTGTATCATCTCTGGCTGGCATGACTTTTTCCTTTCCTGGTTGTACATATATAACAGACAGATCCAGCTCCAGAACAAAGTACTTGAACTGCTAGATCCTACTGTTCATATCTATAAATTGCATCCCTTTGTTATACATTATGGCATGTCCCCCAGTCCACCCATACCTCCCAGTCCACCCATACCTCCCAGTCCACCCATACCAGCCAGTCCACCCATACCCCCCATCCCGCCCATTGAGGCTTGCTGCTTGTCGCGTGACTCCGTCCAGGCCTTGGCAATCGTTCTCTTCATCTCATCGTCCCCGTCCTCGTACATCTGCCTCATCATTGTCATGATGGAGTCTCCGGGGTCTCCGGTACTGTTAAGCTTTGGAGCCCTGCAGTATGACAATGATAATTCCTGAGTCTTTGCACCATCAATGTGGTCTAACATACATGTACATTTCCTGTATTTCTATTCATGCTAGACTGACTAAATCGTGCTCCTGGCAGCCAGCCTTGGACAGCTAGAGCTTCTGTAAACACAGGCTATATTCATGCAAGTGTACAGTAACTGATTGTACTTTTGAGATCTTCTCGCACTATACTTTAAGAAGCACTGTATTAAGATATAATAAGTAATCAGGCACCAGGGTCTGTAATAGGACAAGAAATCAAAGAAGTATGAGGGTTGTTTCATTCATTCATTTTTCGTCAGAATTGAATAGTTATAACCACAGTAATTACTCACTTCTTGTCCTTAGACTTCTTTTCCACACTGGTGAGACACTCCCAGGTTCGTGTCTCCTTTTTTCTCAGGAGTAGAGTCACCATGTCCCTTTTTACCTGTAGGATTAAAAGTGCAACAATACAGATAATGCATAGCTTTTAACATACATAGTCACATGAAAAAAAGATTGTGACACAACAGATCTAAAAATAAGTAAAATCTCAGAAATAACAATAAAATCTTGAAATTGAGTGCAACTTTTGAAACTGCTGTGGAACTGGCATTTCTACCTGTCTTAGAACTGACAAGAAATTCTAAGATTCTTATTCTCGGCTCTTATTCAATGCCTTACCTTATACGAGACAGATGTAATGGGAAGTAACAAGGTGTTGATGAGGAGGTTGTGGTTCTTTCCACCCAGATCTCTCACCAGGAAATCTACCATTCTGGAATGGACGAAAGACACATGGTTACATTTATACATCAATAGAAGCATTCTAGACTATAGCTCAAGTGTACAATGTGTACAATGGTAGTAAATGATCACTGAAAATGAAATTTTCCTTTCTACCTCAGTGGAAGTCCAGACATCCAGACAAATGATAGCCTGGGTTCCAGACCCATAGTACACTTGACAGAAAATATCTGTGAGCCTGAGATATGTTGTGTCCAGTGTGCTATGGGTCTGGACCCCAGGCTAGATAAATGATAAATCTTACTTTTCTCCAAAGTTGACCTCAATGTTGTCCTTGGGAAGTGCCTGGACACCGTTTAGGGAGATGTAGATTTTCACAAACTTGTCTGACTGGTCCCAGCCTGGAAATACACAGGAATATACATGTATATTAAAGATTGCAAGTTGTGATGTTCTTTTTTTTTCAAGTACCTTATTTCTTTGATACCTACTTTTATTGATACTTGACAGTGACTGTATGTACAGAGTTGTACAACACCAAAACCATTGTCATATACACTCACCATATGAGGTAATCTTAGTCTTGTGCATTGTAGCCTGCCCTGGTGGTGGAGGTGCCCTGCGCTTTACAGATGGTTTCGCATCGTCTGGCGATGACTCTTGTTCCTCCACACCGTTCTGAGCAGCCGGAGCAGCAGCCTCACTGTCTGTTATCTCCGTCTGTATTCTCCCCTTCTCTAATGTCAGAGCTTTCTTCACTCTCTCTCGTCTGGCCTGTTCAAGTAGTCTCTCTATCTCCTGTAAGTCTGCTCGCAACTGGGAAAATAAAATTATTTTAATAAGTTTGACTCTGTATTCCTTGCAATTGGAAGGAAAGAACGATTGTGACATGATGATTATTAAAAGCCTTTATGCCAGTTGGCTCTAAATTATTGCATATCTGTTAAAAATTCTATACAGTTTAAAGTTCCAACTTTTCACTTTATATATACATGTAAATAATTATTGACCTGCATTATGGATAGCAATAGTGGACACGGCTAGATCATGACCATGACACAAATTCCACTTTTGAATCATGGGTTTCACTTTCATGTCCCCATATTATGGGGAGGGGGGCGTTTCTGTAACTGTTCTAGTTGTGTAGTTTGATTCTAGTAGTCAGATAAGATACACTCAAGTTTAAAAGTCTAAAACGACTAAACATGACTGCAATGCCGACACAACCCGTAAGCTTTCTTCGCACATGGCCCACCACATGTACCGATCTGGGCCAAGGGTGGTCAGTGATGCGGGAGAAAGTTTCCATTGTTTACAAAACCGCTTCTTCCGTTTTTCCACAGATTCCTGGCTCTAACAACAAACAAGGTACACAAAGCGTCTTTAAGAAGTTAGAGCTTACCTCTTGGAGACCAGCCATGTTTTAGAAAGCGTGCAAACTTGTCAAGCTTTGTTCGTGAAATTCCTTGTAGTAGCGTATTCGAACCATGCACGGTATTTTCTGGAAACCGGAAGTGAAGCACTACGCGTGCGTCCTCTACAGCTGCATGGCGGGAAATGGGTTTTAAATTTGGCGGGAAACTTTGAATCGTCATCATAAAAACGTGTTCTTTCGATGAGCATTTTCCCCACGATTTGGTCCAATTAACGTTCACAAAAATTAACATCTCTTGTCTTACTTTTTGGAAATAGGAAAATGTTTGTTCAGTAAAATTTTTGCTAAAACCAGTGATTGAACCTCCTTGAAGAAACACACTTTATATTTGGTCTCTCTGGTCTGCTACTAAGCCTCTTTAAACTTCATAGTGGTGATATTGATGTCGATGACGAACCATTCTTAACATAGGGAAGGATACTAAAGGCATACACAAGAAATTCTATGGTAGATGCTCATCAATGTATTCTTCTATTAGTTTAATAATACAAAAGTTGAGGCTTGAATAATAT